TGTGTGTGCGCGCGTGTGTGTGTGTGTGTGTGTCTTTATGTGTGTGTGATAGATAGACACAGATAGACAGATAGATGGGTGTATGAATGGATGGACGGATGTATGGAGATAGTAAGATAGACAAATTGATTGATTGACTGATAAATAGATTGCTAGATAGACTGATAGATTGATTGATAGATTAACAGATAGATTGACTGATAGATTGGTTGATAGACTGATTGATTGATAGACTGACTGATGGATCGACTGATAGACTGACTGATAAATTGACTGATACATCGACTGATAGATCGACTGATAGACTGACTGATAAATTGACTGATAGATCGACTGATAGACTGACTGGTAAATTGACTGACAGATCGACTGATAGACTGCCTGATAAACTGACTGATAGATTGATAAATTGAGTGATAGACTGACTGATAAATTGACAGTTAAATTGACTAATATATTGGTTGACAGATTGAGTGATAGACTGACCGATAGACTGACTGGTGAATTGACAGGTAAATTGACTGATAAATTAGCTGATAGACTGACTGATAGATTAACTGAGAGATTGCTTAATAGACTGACTGTTAGACTAACTGATACAATGATTGATAGATTGATTGATAGATTGACTGATAGATTGTCTGATAGACTGACTTATAGACTGACTGAATGATTGACGGACAGAATGACTGATAGATTGACTGACAGAATGACTGATAGATTGACTGACAGAATGACTGATAGATTGACTGATAGACTGACTGATAGGTTGTCTGATAGATTAACTGATAGATTGACTGACAGAATGACTGATAGATTGACTGACAGAATGACTGATAGATTGACTGACAGAATGACTGATAGATTGACTGACAGAATGACTGATAGACAGATTGATAGATTGACTGATAGACTGATTAATAGATTGACCGATAGATTAACTGATAGCTGGATTGATTGATAGATTGATAAATTGACCGATAGATTGATAGATCGACTGATAGACTGACTGATAAATTGACTGATAGATTGATTGATAGATTAACTGATAGCTGGATTGATTGATAGATTGATAGAATGACTGAAAAATTGATTGATAGATTGACTGATAGATTGACTGATAGATTGATTGATAGCTTGATTGATAGACTGATTGATACAATGATTGATAGATTGAATGATTGACTGATTAGGTAGCTTAACTGATAGCTGGATTGATTGATAGATAAATTGACTGATAGATTGAATGATAGATCCACTGATAGATTGGCTGATAAACTGATTGACTAGATTGACTGATAGACTGATTAATAGATTGACCGATAGATTGATAGATCGACTGATAGACTGACTGATACATTGACCGATAGATTGACCGATAGATTGACCGATAGATTAACTGATAGATTGACTGATAGATTGATTGATAGATTGATAAATTGACCGATAGATTGACCGATAGATTGATAGATCGACTGATAGACTGACTGATAAATTGACTGATAGATTGACTGATAGATTGACTGATAGATTGATTGATAGATTGACTGACAGAATGACTGATAGATTGACTGATAGATTGACTGATAGACTGATTAATAGATTGACCGATAGATTGACCGATAGATTAACTGATAGCTGGATTGATTGATAGATCGACTGATAGACTGACTGATAAATTGACTGATAGATTGACTGATAGATTGATTGATAGATTGACTGATAGATTGATTGATAGATAAATTGACTGATAGATTGATAGTGATTGATAGATTGATTGATAGATTAGATTGATTGACAGATTGACTGATAAACTGACTGATAAATTAACTGATAAATTAACTGATAAATTGAATGGTAGATTGATAGACTGATTGATAGATTGATCGACTGACTGATAGATTGATAGTGATTGATAGATTGACTGATGGATTGATTGATAGATCGACTGATAGACTGACTGATACATTGACCGATAGATTGACCGATAGATTAACTGATAAATTATCTGATAGATTGATTTATGGATACATGTATACACCACGCATATATATATACATGAATATGTATGTGTGTGTGTGTCTGTGTGTGTCTGTGTACGTATATATATATATATATATATATATATATATATATATATATATATATATATATATACATATATATATATATATATATATATATATATATATATATATATATACATACATATATGATATATATATATATTATCTGTGTATGTATGAAAATATATGTATATATACATGCATCTCTGTATGATTGTATATATGCATATTCTTGTATATTTAATAGCACATACATGCTGTATAATTGTCTACTGGTTTGCCCTCGGCTGTTGTTTCCCCCAATTCCTCTCTGCTGCTTGGAGTCAACGCGGGTCAGTGTCGCAAAAATGCCAAGCAGATATTGCGAGATGCTCTAGAGACAATAGGCCGTATTATTAAACGTACTCGTGGGGTGGGCTTTCCCCAAAGCCAGCTCCCCCCGCACTTTTCGGTGTCATTAATGTTTTGCGGGTGTTGCTCGCCCCGCGGGTCCTCCGCATAGTATTGGAACAATTGCGGGGCAGCTTGGAGCACCCCGCACCAAGTTCCGCAAAAGGATAATTTAGAATATATTCATTTGAACGCGAGCATTATATCAAAAATAGTTTTGAATGCTTTTTAAGATATATGCTGCTCTTATTATGGTGCTAAAAAAATATATATATATAGTTTTTAAAGAATAATGTCCACCATTTCGGGAGGTCTGCCTGATAGCTTCCAAATAGTTTTTTGCTGTTATATTACAGATTTCATAAATTACAGTGATTACCATATATCAATTATTCTCATCCCCATATGCATTCAGAAGTTTTATTTTGCTCTTAATATATATGAATATCCATATAAGAGTGTAGATGCGTCCAAACGTAGTCTCGGACCAAGGCCAGAAATTGTATTTATTACATAATCTATATTTTCATCTGTAACATAAGTTCCGATATATCCACTTTAATGCATAACAATCGTTAGATAGAGTGCATTAACGTAAACGTATCGATGTTTGTGCTATAAATGGAAATTTAAATTAACAAAACATTTAAGGAACGCAATTTTGAGTAATTGGACCCGCGTGCCTTTATATATGTTGGCCAGTGTAGATATATATAAGTTTATATAATATATACATAAATTTAAATTTATATATCTATATCTGTATACGTGTGTGTGTGTGTGTGTGTGTGTGTGTGTGTGTGTGTGTGTGTGTGTGTGTGTGTGTGTGTGTGTGTGTGTGTGTGTGTGTGTGTCTACACTGATTTATCTTCGCAGGAAATTATAATTTTTTGCGAGATGCTTCCGAAAGAAATGTGAGAATTCAAGTCTCCGGGCTAGTACAGTGGTAATGTGTCGGCCTCTCATCCGAGGGGTCGGCGGTTCAGCGGTTCGCACCCCGCCCAGGCGCGTGAAGTTGCAATTGTCGCCTGGAGGTTACTGCTGAGACTGGGCACCACGATGGGTAAGGGCCAAGCTCAGCCGAGTCAGCACCAGTTGAAACACGTTAGCCTTCCGTAGTGTTGGTGACCGTTGAAGGCGTGGCAATAAGACAGTTGAGATCCATGGCTTTCCATTGTTACATCTAGCGGGCTGACTGGTAATTGGTCAATCGACTAACGATTTGCCCTCTCTTGGTAGTCAGTGGAATTAACTTGTAAACAATGTTAACACAGGCCTTACAATGTGCCAACTATATTGTAAAACTCTTTGAGTATGGGTGGTTTACAATGCAGTAAGGAAATCGGAAGGTACAATGTAGTCAGGCGGTTACAGCGTTCTCGACCTTGTGACGGACGGCTAACCCTCCATGTCCCCTTACATTTATGAATAAAATCACTTCCCGAATTTTAACAGAAATTTTAAGATGTTCTTGGTCATTCTATCGAGTATATATTAATTACATTATTAAAAACTTGCATAAAACTGGGCGTGTGTATAATCAATAAACTAAGGCTGATTACTATTTTCAGGTAAATATAACAACTGAGATTTTGAAAAAATAATAACCTCAACTGAATCAGTGTAATAGAAGAGCAGTTATTGCCATAGGACAGGTGTTGAAGACTGGGAGAGACCGGGGATCACTAGTCACCAATATCTCAGGGGGTAAAACCTCCCCTCCTAAGGGTTTCGAAGGATGTGGAGGGGGTTCAATAAGTACAGAATGTGGAAAGTGGCGCCAAGATAGTAAACTCCAGAAAACTAAAACAGTTATAAGACGCTCCTTTTGCATTTCCCCGAACTTATTGTTTGACCATGCTCTTGCTGAGAGAGTAACAAGTGCCCCCCTCGAAAATTACTGCTCCCCCCCCCCCCCTTAGGATAACAAACACTGCTCTAACTGATCTTCTCAATTACTCATATATTTATAGCATCCCTAACTGGATGTGTTATTGTTTTCATGATAAAATTTACTTGAGAAAATTAGTGTACTGCGCCCCCCAAGTACTCCCACGAACTATCTTTTACCAAAAAAGATTTTCTTATTTTTATTTTCTTTTGACCTTCATTCCGCACTTGCTAGTTTAGTTCCGAATAACGGTCTCTTTTGTACATCTCAAATGAAACTTGTCTAAGTTATCGTAAATTAATAAAAATAATAAATATGTTGGACAATTTGGAGATGAAATAATATGTTGTAAGATATGCCTGTATTAATTTGATACAAAGAGAACGCAAACAAAATGAATATCATCATGGACAGAGCCATTGTTGCCACATCCCCGATATACACATCAGGTGTTCGTCAAATCTAAGAAAAAACTGGCACCTCGTTTTTTGTCTTTCCTATTCTAATCAGCGGACACTTGATACTTACGTTTACACATGTTTGGTATTCCTCATGTAAAACGCATAATCACTCAGACAAGTATGTCTAAGAACTTAATCAGACTGCCATGCAAGTACATATTAGGGTGAAGAAACTCAAATAGAACGAGATGATACATTTAATATACATGTTAAGATATACGTGTAAGCTATCGGTGATAGCATGTGAATCAAACTTTTGTTTATCTTTTGAGGATGTTTTGTCTTAATACTCCAAAATAATGCTGACACTGGAGTTCAGAATTAAATATTACTACCAAATAAAGCTTTACAAAAGTTGACTGGATATGGATATATCAGTGCGCAGATATCAATACCACGATACATTATTTTGACGCTTCATAAAATGGAAATAACTAAGAAAAATGGCGTTGACAACAGCTGAAAATAGTCGCTTATATTGACTGTCAGGAATGATATTCGAGAAAATTCTCAGCCGTTCCGACACGACTCAGCTACCTACTGGCAGTGTTTCCTGAAAAAAAAACGTAAAAATAACATTCTGTAGAGTACTTGGCAACTTCGTCTGATTATATGTAGACTCGAAGATAATAAAAACAAAAGAGGCCCGATTCCTTTATTAGAAACCTGGTTGAAATGAAAGCGAGATGTCTGATGCAAAAAAAATAACATCCTCTCCGTCTACCTGTTCAGTGTGGGGCAGCCCGCCACTCGTTTTCGTCGTGTGTGTTGTGTGTGTGATGTGAGTGTGAGTGAGGGAGTGTGAGTGTGTGAGTGTGAGTTTGCGTGTGAGTGGAGTGTGTGTGTGTGTGTGGTGTGTGGTGTGTGTGTGTGTGTGTGGTTGGTGTGTGTGTAGGTGTGGTGTGTGTGTGTGTGCGGTGTGCGTGTGCGTGTGCGTGTGCGTGCGCGTGCGCGTGCGAGTGACTTGAGCTTGCGCGTGTGCACGTGTTGTTTGTGGTGTGTGTGTGTGTGTGGTGTTGTGTGTGTGTGTGCGCCAGCGCAGCGTGTGTGTGCGGGTGCGCGCCGCGCGCATGCATACATAACACATGTTATGCAATATGGATACTATTTAATTCGACATATATTAATTCGCCTACTATAATATATGATATATTAATACTATCATATATTATATATATCTCTATATATATCTATATATCTATATATTATATATATATAATAAACCACATACACGACAATATGCCGCAGATACATATACGCTATACTTCATGTGTGTGTGGTCCGTGGCGTGGGGTGCGGTGTGTGGTGTGTGTGTGTGTGTGGTGTGTGTGTGGTGGTGGTGTGTTGTTGTGTGTGGTGTGTTGTGTGTGGGTGTGGTGTTTGTGTTTTGTGTGAGTATGTTATGTGTCTGTGTGCAGTGTGGGCGTGCTGCTTGTGCTGTGTGTTTTGCGTGCTTGTGCGTGGTGGTGTTGTGCGTGTGTGCCCTGTGTGGTGTGTGTGCCTGTGTGTGTGTGTGTGCCTGTTTGTGTGTGTGCCTGGTGTGTGGCCTCGTCTCATGATGTGTGTGACCTGTCTCTGTGTGTGGCCTGTGTGCCTGTGTGCTGTCTCATGTGTCCTTGCCTGTTGTGTGCCTGTTTGCATTCGTGTGGTGCCTGTGTGTGGTGTGTGTGCCTGTGCCTGTTGTGTGTGTTGTGTGTGTGTGTGTGTGGTGTGTGTGTGGTGTCGGTGTGTGCTGGTGTGTGTGTGTGTGTGTGTGTGTGTGTGTGTGTTGTGGGTTGTGTGTGCCTGTGTGTGTGTGTCCTGTGTGCTGCTGTGTCCTTGTGTGCTGCTGTAGGCCTGTGTCGTTGTGTGTTGTTTTTGTAGTGGTGTTGTGATGCTGCTGTGTGGTGTGATGTGCTTTGTGTGTGTGTGTCGTGTCGTGTGTGTTGTGTGTGGTGTGCTGTGTGTCTGTGTCGTGTGTCCCGTGCTACTGTTTGTATTAATATTAAAGGTGTCACAACAAATAGTGGGGGTGGTGGGGATGTGGGTATAAATATGCTTTAAAAAATGGGGTGGATCCGGATTCCTCAATCTTGTCATATCAACTCCAAAAAAAACAAAAACAGTTCAAACTCTTGGGTAAAACGGTTCGCACAAGGACAATTTGGCAATTGCGTAGGCTGCTTCTAGAATCACCGTCCTAACTCAATAAGCTACGATGTGATTTTATAAAGGATATTCATTAAACCATCTGCACATTTCATTAATAATTTTCTATTGCTCTTTAATATAAATGCCTTAAAGCCACATTCCTCTGTTGTTCTCATATTTTTTTTCTGAAAGTGCAAATTGTGCAGGTGAAGAAAACAATCATTCACAGGTATGAAAATATATGTATCTAAAATCAGGTTCAATATTTACAGGTCACAGCCTCTGAAATCATTCATCTTTCAGAACATTTAAGGTAATCATAATTATAAAAGACAAATATATGAACTATGAGGAGAATTATAACATAATAATGGAAACATTCATAACATTTTTATATGTGTATATATACTATTTTTTCTAATACATGCATGTGGTATAATGCAATTTAAATTCCCAGTTTTTAAACTTGCACCAGTTTGGTAGACAGATGAGCACTAAGCTTGGAATGGTTTAATTCTTCCTAAATGTCTTGCCTTACAATCCAAATAGCACATTAGCACAGTAGTCAGATTAACAGTTGAGCAATTCATTTATCCATATGAATAAACCATACTGTTGCCTTCATTGTTACAGAGTGTAAACATTTATTTGCTGGAGAGGCATAAAGTTAGCAACTTTATGTGGCTGATATTGCTTATTTAGAGCTGAACTTTGGATACAAGAATAATGAAAGCTGACTACACAGGCTACACTTTAGAACTTTAGAACTTTGAAATATTGCCAGGTTGTAAGTGAGTGCCCATCTGCCTGCCCTCTCCCTTTTTGACCACACTCTTGATCTGGCACACACCCAAGAGCATATTTTTGGAACAAGTCATAAAAATGACAAGTTAAAGTTACCAAGAAAATCTAATAAAATTCACTATCCTTTCCTTTGTGAATTTGCAATATAAGGATCATAAATATTCATTCATATATATATATATATATATATATATATATATATATATATATATATATATAAATATACATATACATATACATATACATATACATATACATATACATATACATATACATATACATATACATATACATAACCATTATAAATCTATACTATCGTATATATATACTCTAGATGATATCTAGCAGATAGATAGATAGATAGGCTAGCTTCTCGCTCTTCTCGCTCGCTATGCCTATCTCTCGCTTTTCTGGGTCCTTGGTATTGGAGGATGTGTGAGGAAGGTTTCTTGGATGCAGACAATGGATGGGTTATAGGAAAATAGGGGGTAACAAAGGTCAGGTCTATGATAATGGAAACCTTAAATATTCCACTGCAGAAGTCATTACGAAGTAATCAACGAGTAATACAGGTAGAAAGTGGTGTCCATACAATTAGGAGAGGTAGGAGACCAGGGGGAGATGTAGTGTCAGGAGGATCATCAGCAGACAAAGGGTCCAGAGAGGGACACTGTTATGACAAAAGGAATTCATGTGAGTATCCAGGAGGGATTGGGAGAGTTAATAGGGAAGGAAGCCGGGTTGGTGCAGAAGGGAAAGGAAAGGATGGGGTGTGTTGGGAGTAGGAGGGAGAGAGGTAAAGGGAATATGAGGAGGAGGAATGTATACAGAATAGGGGTAAAGGAATTGGAGGATGCTTGAGAGAGGACAGCTTTTTCTTAGGTCATACTTAGGAAGTTTTGGATTTCTTCAAGGGCTTCTGGTTGGGAATTGGTTGAGGAGGTTTGGGAATCAAAAGATTTTTTATTAGGAAATGAAGAGGAGATCAGCATTTGAGAAGTAGATGTAAGTGTTGGAATTGATGTGGTAGGTGAAGATGGGGTGGAACATTTTGACTGGTGCGATAGGCAAGGCAATTAACTCATTCGCGCCGGGTGTCACATATACATGACATACCCACTGTGAGTTTACTTGTTTAATTGTTTTTACACATAGATGGCTACACTTGTACTTTTACTGCCTGTCTCGCCTGTTTACCCTTTTCTTTAATTTACAAAAATATTTTACGTTATCTTATTTTACTGTTACTAATGTTTATAACATTATAGTAATTATGATGTTTATAATAAAAATAACCATTGATATTCATAGCATTAGCAAAAATACATTTTCCTGCCAATTCAAGTAAAGGTGAAATCCGGTAAGGCAGAGCCATCTAGAGAGATTTCACAAAAAAATATAAAAAATGAGCACAGCATTTTCCCCATTTTTTGTTCATTTTTACCCGTCGCGAATGGGTTAAACAAGTAAACTCACAGTGGGTATGTCACGCATAAGTGATACCCGGCGCGAATGGGTTAAGAGGGCATTTGATAAGGTGTCTCACAGAAGACTAATATGGAAATTAGAACACCTAGGTGGAGTGAAAGGCAAACTCCTCAAACGGATGGAAGACTTTCTTCATGAAAGACAATGATAACCGTAATTAGAGGGAAGCACTCTACATGGCGAGGAGTATCTAGCGGAGTACCTCAAGGATCAGTCTTGGCATCAATTATGTTTACTATTTTCACAAATGATTTAGGATCAAACATAAGCTAAGGTAGTTACTGAATATGTTTGCAGATGAAGCGAAATTGTAAAAAAGAAAAAAAATGGAGTTTAATACCAATAGATGCTATGTAGTCTGGGTCGGAGAAAGTAAAAATCATCCACTATACCAATATATGTTAGGAGATCTAATATCAACAGCAGATAAAGAAAAAGACCTTGGAATAATCATAAACAGGAACCTAAGCCCAAATAATCATATAAATGACAAGGTTCATAAAATGCTAGGGCTGATTGCCAACATGAAGAGGCATTCGTATATGTTGACAAAGACATGGTAAATAGGTCATCATAAGATTTAGTCTTTAGTATGGTGCAGTGGTATGGAGTCCACACTAAAAAAAGGATACAGATAAACTGGAAAGAGTTCAGAGAGCAACCACAAGATGGGTACCTACTCGAAGAGAAATTAACAGTAAAGAAGGACTACAGAAAATAGGTGACATGATCATGATGTTGAAACTATTGAAACTATTGAAACATGGAACAATCTTCCAAATAATGTTGTGTGTGCCAAAAATGTGCATCAAATTAAAAAGTTATATGATAATTCAAATATACCAGACAGGACCATATGAGCTTAGCTCTTCTCCCATACTGAAACAACTAGGTAAGACCACACACACATACATAAATACATACTTACATACACACACACACACATATAATCATATAAATATTAAGTATATACATATATTTATTTATTTATCTATTAAACATATACACATACACATACTTATACACATACATACATATACATACATATACATATACATACATACATACATACACACACACACACACATATATATATATATATATATATATATATATATATATATATATATATATATATATATACATATATATGTGTGTGTGTGTGTGTGTGTGTGTGTGTGTGTGTGTGTGTGTGTGTGTGTGTGTGTGTGTGTGTGTGTGTGTGTGTGTGTGTGTATGTGTGTGTGTGTGTGCGTGTGTGTGTGTGTGTGTGTGTGTGTGTGTGTGTGTGTGTGTGTGTGTGTGTGTGTGTGTGTGTGTGTGTGTGTGTGTGTGTGTGTGTGTGTGTGTAGTGTGTGTGTGTGTGTAGTGTGTGTGTGTGTGTAGTGTGTGTGTGTGTAGTGTGTGTGTGTGTAGTGTGTGTGTGTGTAGTGTGTGTGTGTGTAATTTTGTGTGTGTTTAGTTTGTGTTGTTTAGTGTTGGTTTTTTGTTTAGTTTTGTTTTTTGTTATGTTTGTGTGTGTAGTGTGTGTGTTGTTGTATTGGTGTTGTTGTGTAGTGTTTGTGTTTTTCTTTTTTGTGTTGTGTCGTGTTGTTGTTTGTATGTTGTGTGTGTGTGTAGTGTTTGTTTTTTTATTTTTTGTTTTTTGTCTTTTTTTTGTTGTGTATTTGTGTTGTGTTGTTTATTGTGTGTTTGTGTCGTGTGTGTGTGTGTGTGTGGTGTGTGTGTCGTGTGTGATGTTGTCGTGTGTGTGTGTGTCGTGTGTGTGTGGTCGTGTGTGTGTGTGTCGTGCTGGGGGTGGTGTGTGTGTCGTGTGTGGTAGTGTGTCGTGTGTGTGTGATGTCTGCTGTGTGTAGTGTCGTGATGTGTCGTGTAGTCCTGTGTGTGTGTTCGTGTGTGTGTGTGTCGTGGGTGTGTGTGATCGTGGTGGTGGTGTGTGTCGTGTGTGTGTGGTGTCGTGATGTGTGTGTGTCTTGTGTGTGTCGTGTCTGTGTGTGGTGTGTCGTGGTTTGGTGTGTCGATGTGGTGGTTTGTCGTGTGTGTGTGTGTGTGTGTGCGCGTGTGGTGTCTGTGTGCTGTGGTGTGTTGTGTGTGTTTGTTGTGTTTGTGTTGGTGTAGTGTGTGTTGTGTGTGTGTGTGTGTGTGTGTGTGTGTGTGTGTCTCTATCTCTCTCTCCTCGCTCTCTCTATCTCTCTCTCTCCTCTCATCTCTCTCTCTCTCGGTCCCTACCCTACCCCCCCTCACTGCCCTTCCGTTATCATCCCTCTCTCCCCTCCTTTGCTCCTATCTCTCCCTCGTTTCTTTCCTTCTCCCCTTTGTTTTCCCTATTCCCTTCTCTCTTTCTTTCTTTCTTTTCTTTCTCTCTTCTTCCCCCTCTCCCCTCTTCCCCTCTCTCCCTGCCCTGACGCCCCCCCATCCAATCTCATGTTTCTTTCTTTCGCCTCGATGGCTCTACAAGCTCCTTATCACTAAATACCCAGTTATAGCCCATTTCCTTCACTTTTGGAAATGGTCTTTTGTATCATTTCATTGTCTAAAATATTTCAATAACAATTTAAAAATCATAGCATCAATAACAATAATAATAGTATCGACAGCAATGGTATTAATAAGAAAAACACATTTTCCCTTCAATTCAAGGAATGGCAAAATCATGATCAGTAACTAGGGCCTACTGGTAGACTCCTTGCCGGCTGAGCACGTGGAGCCATCTGTATGAAACAAAATTCACCAAAAACTAAGAGGGACAGAACATAAATCCGTGGCAATTGGGTTAATGAATTTCATATAAAATTCACTTTACATTTAACCAATAATATTAGATCCTCATCTTGTGAAAAGTAACATCTGCTTCAAGACAAATTTTGTGTACATGACACAAAATGGAGTGAGAGTAGTTGTATTGGTGTGGATCCCTATCACTCTTATCACCATAGTAGTTTTCATTTCATGTCTCCCTTTAGATAAGAATGTGGCTTTTAGAGGACTGATGGAGGAGGTAGGGGTTAGGTCTCAACTCAAAACTTACACTTAGGGGGGAGGAAGAAAGGCTAGGTGTGTCTTAACCTGAACAAGGTGCAATGAAATGTTATCAGGTAATGGTAGACCTTATGTTCTTGTAATGCATAGTCAAGCCTGCTCTAAGCTGTGCACTTGTTTGGCCCAGGCTGTATTTACTGAGGAAAAATAGCCCTTTAACCCTTTCCCGACAGGGAAAATTAATAAAAAAGGGGGGAAATTCTGTGCTCATTTTTTATATTTTTGTGAAATGTTCCTGTTACTAGATGGCTCTGCCTTTCCTTGAATTGGTGCAAAAAACGTATTTTTACTAGTGCTATAAATATAGATAGTGTTATTTTTGTTATAAACATTCTAATTACTATAATGTTAAAAACATTTGTAACAGCAAAAAAAATAAAGTTAAATATTTTCGTAAATCAATGAAAAGGGTGAACGGGCGAGACAGGTGGTACTCGTAACTGGCTCATTGGTGATTTAGTACAAGTGTAGCCATCTATGTTTAAAAACAATTAAACAAGTAAACTCACAATGGGCATGGCATGTACGTACATGCCATGCCTGTTGGCAAACGGCTAAGAGTAGACTTATGGTCTCACTACCTAAAAAAATATTTATTCTGTAGCTAAAAGCATAGAGAGTGGGGTAATTCTATGTTTCTAAGCTTCTGTTTCTAAGCTTCTGACAGTACTCCACTTGAAGCCTGATGTGTTATTTGCTATGGCACATGGTTGGGTTAAACTGAAGATCTACACTTGAGTCTATGGATTAACTTTGTGACATATACTAAAATTCACTCCTAATCATCATTAAAGGGAAATTTGGAGAGGCCAGAACAACAGAAAATAATTTAATCCCTTATTGGGGATTAAATGAGGAGCTAAATCAAGAAAATGTTCATGAAAAAACATCACTAATAATCTGATATAAAAAAAAAGAAGCAAATACAGTCATTGCTGAATGAAATAGTAAAAAAAAATTGTTTAGAGAGAAACACTATAACAATCTTACCACAAATAGTATATACAGAAAATCCATCTGCAATCCGTGACAAATTACAAATACTATACCAACTTTAAGAACTGACAGTTTTGGACCCAAAATTTTACATAAAGGTTCTGAGTAACCAATTATGGCCTCTCTACAGTGTGAGTTTAGTTGTTTAATTGTCACATAGATGGCTAGAGGTGTAGTAAATCACCAATGAGCCAATCATGAGTACTCCCTGTCTCGCCCATTTACCCTTCTCTTTAATTTACGAAAGTATTTTATGTTATCTTATTTTGCTATTACTAAAGTTTATAACATTATAGTAATTATAATGTTTATAATAAAAATAACAACATCAATATTTATAGCACAGGTAAAAAATACAATTTCCCGCCAATTCAAGGAAAGGTGAAGTCAGGTAAGGCAGAGCCATCTAGAGACATTTCACAAAAAATATAAAAAATGAGCACAGCATTTTCCCCATTTTTTATTCATTTTTCTCCAGCGGCAATGGGTTTACCCAATGCATCTGGGAGAATATGGGGATCACTGGGCCTCTCCTAGGGGAATGTGCACAGCAGACTGGGCTTGCCTTAGGGGCCTATCTCAGATGCTTTCAGTGCATCACACTTGCCCCACCACACAAACAAAATTACTTTTCTTTTTTCCATCATCTGTATCTAAAACATTATTTTAATGTTTCTGCATATTCAGAGAAGTATGCTATTCATTTTCGTTGCTAAATTGTAATAACCTAATTATGTACATTACAGTCCATTTCAATAAATTAAATATGTTACACTCCATGAAAAAGATGAACTGTGGTTTTACACCAATCTTATTCATATGAAATATGAGATTGTGTGCAGTTATATACAAGGCTGGTACTCACATAGCTTCAGTACTTCCCTTTTGTGCGTAACACTTCAAGCTAGTCACAAGGGCAGAGACGTATATGACAATCTGTGCAACTGTCATGAGGACTCTGATCACATAAGCTAGAGTGAAGGTTACTTACAGGTTTATATTAGCAGGAAGAGAGCTCAATGTTTTGGTGCATGACATCTTCTAGGTATAGCAAGCAAATGATTTATGTATATCACCCCTTTATATATAACAACAGCCATCCAGAGCATTACACATCCCGTTCTCCTTCAGGCAATGTGACATGTGGGTTCATAAAGAACAGCATAAGAGCGAATGCATTCATCATAATAACACAAAGTGAATGACCTACTATCCTGAGCCAAGCCCAAGTCAGCCGTAAAGTGAACCCCATGTCATCCAGAGGATAAGGATTAAGCATTTTCTAAATAGTATTACCATAGATCCTACAGTGATATGCAACTTCAGATATTCTTAATTATCTCCCACTTTCTTGCCTACAAAAACTTACATGCTTGTGCTAAGACCAAAAGTCCTCTTCAGAAGAATCCCAGCCAGCTTCTAGCTTCTCTGCAGTGTCAAAGTCTACCTGCTTGTCATATTCATAGCCTGGATCACCTGGCTTCAACTGATTTTTCTGGAAAGTGTCGTCCATTATCTGGAAGATAAGGACATTGTTTAGATACATGTTTTAACACACTTTGTGTAATACCACATCAACACTAAATATCAAGAAAGTTTACAATGTTTTTAAGCTATAAATATTTCTTCATTTAACACATCACATATATCATTAATGCCAAGAAGTATAAGCTTTTCAAGTAGCTAAAAGGAACAGTAATTCCAACTTATAATACTGGAATATCAATGTTCTTACGGAAACATCTAACAGACTAGTTTGTGCTACCTGAAAATAATTCTGTTCAGAAGGAAAACTTGTAGCAAATTTCATCCAAACCAATTCCAGACACAACTTCTGGAATGCTTTGGATATAATGAGAATGTAAAATACAGTAAAGGTTGTGTTTGAAATTAGTGATATGTACAAACCTTCTTCTTTCTGTTCAGCTGTTCATCATTCAACTTATTCAGGTCCTGATTTGGATCCAGATCATAGTCTTTACTTATATTAGACACAGCCTCATCTATGCTTCGACCCTTTTGGGATTCTTGCAAAATCCTCAGCATCTTCTCCAATCTCAGATCTGGAACCTTTTAATGAAAATTATATGACCAAAGCTACAGCTAAGATTTCCTATCAAATAATGTAAGTAATCCTAAACATCTTCATAGAAACTACATATAAAAACTAAAAGAAAGAATAGGTCTTACTATTTCTATAAATATTTCCATAGAAAACAGATGACTAAAAGGCAAAATAAAAACAATTAAACAGAACTTAACTGTTAGAGCAATTCTACACAACAAGAGTTTAATAGAATGATACATGATGTCATATACAAAGGTATTTCAATAAATGCACCAGTACAAAATCTCTGGGCAACAAGCAGCTTTGACACCTATGGAAACATCAAAGCCACATACATCAAATAACTACCAGTCATTGTCATTATCATTATTTGTTCTCTTTCTTTGTCACCATCATTATCTATGGTCATCATTATCTGTCACCATTATCTGTCGCCATCATTATCTGACATCACCATCTGTGGTCATCATTAGCTGCCACCATCATTATTTGTCATTATCATTATTTGTAATCATCATTACTTGTGTTCATCTTTATCATTATCTGTCATCATAATCTGCCGTCATCATTATCTGTCGTCATCATTGTCTGTCATCGTTATCTGTCGTCCTTATTGTCTGTTGTTATTATCTGCCATTATCATTATCTGTCATTATTATTGGTCATCATCTTATATTATCACATATGCATCATAGTTCATTACTGACATTATTAATTCAAAAGAAACTGCATATCTCCTATTTGTTCCAAATATGACATGGTGTTGTTCAGTTAAATGTCTGTCAGATAATGTTAAGTGATTCCATATTTTCTATATTTTCTGCAAATATTGCATCACTGCAAAACAAAAAACTCCTTTAACCCATTCACAACAGCCATGTCACATATGTCTATGCCATGCCCACTGTGAGTTTACTTGTTTAATTGTTTTTACACATAGATGGCTATACTTGTACTAAGTCACCAATGAGCCAATTACGAGTACTGCCTGTCTTGCCCCTTTACCCTTTTCTTTAATTTACAAAAATATTATACGTTATCTTATTTTGCTATTACTAATGTTTATAACATTATAGTAATTGTAATGTTTATATTAATAATAACACCATCGATATTCATAGAACTAGTTAAAAAAAAATACTTTTTCCCGCCAATTCAAGGAAAGGTGAAATCAGGTAAGGCAGAGCCATCTGTGTATACAGACATTTTACAAAAATATGAAAAATGAGCACAGCATTTTTCCCATTTTTTATTCACTTTCCCCCAGCAGCAATTGGTACATATAGTTATCATCTTTTAAATGGACACAGTAGATTTTGTGCAAGATTCTTTATTGCTTAATGTTCGAGAAAATTCACACCTATGTCTCAAGTGGTTTTGCTGCGAGTTTCTTCCCATGTGTTTGTCACTCCTGTAGATGAATTGATTTTCAAAGTGAATTTCAAAAAATGTGTACAAATTCATGTAGTGCAGCAAGTTGGAAAGAATGTACAGGATAAAATTTGATAAACAAATTAGCTACTGCATTTGACATCTGATTAGACGCAAAAAAAATGGCTTAAAAAATGCCCCTGGTTTTTATATGCTCTGAAATGGGTGTGTGTTTAACCCTTTCCCAACAGGGAAAATGAATAAAGAATGGGGGAAATTCTGTGTTCATTTTTTATATTTTTGTGAAATATCCCTGTTACTAAATAGCTCTGCTAGTAGAATTTCAACTTTCCTTGAATTGGTGCAAAAAACATATTTTTACTAGTGCAATAAATATAGATGGTGTTAATTTTACTATAAATATTATAATTACTATAATGTTATAAACATTTGTAACAGCAAAATAAGATAATGTTAAATATTTTTGTAAATCGATGAAAAGGGTGAACGGGCGAGACAGGCGGTACTCTTAACCCATTGCCGCCAGGGAAAATGAACAAAAAATGGGGGAAATGCAGTACTCATTTTTTATATTTTTGTGAAATATAAATATAGATGGTGTTATTTTTAACCCATTCGCGCCGGGCGTCACGTATAGGTGACGGGCCCACTGTGAGTTTACTTGTTTGATTGTTT